ATTATGGAGAGGATGTTTATAATAGTGGTAACTATAATATACCAAGAAGCACTTAAGCGTTCGAGATCCATATCCGACTTAGTGGTTAACCTATTCGCCTGGTCATATATGTTTTCGAATTCGAAATTGCTGTGAAGTAGGTTATCCTTGTGGCTAGGAGCACAACATTTTAAACAGAGCGATGAAACTTCGATTAGAGTTGTGCTCAGTTTCATACTGGAAAGTTGTGTACGTATCCTCTGGGCCTGTTCGGAAACAGCTTGCGGTTCTATCCAGCTTAAAGAATTTTCTAAAACCGAATACCTCCGCTGTACACGGTTACTGGTAGTAGACTGAACATGATCCAACAACCTCTGATTTTCCTCTGCGGCAAAATCCTCCGTTGCCGTGTGGCGTTATGCTCAATTCCCTTCGAATTCGGCTATCTTGGATTGCACCGTATCACGTTGGTTAAGTGCATGTTGTATAAGCGTTTTCATATTAGGATAAATCCGAGCACAGCGTAGCTGCTTCCAAAATCTGGCAGGATACCTATTAGCTCAACGTACTCATCGGAAATTTGAACACAGGTTTCGGCTCCAACAAGCTTTGTGGAGAACCTCATGAACTGATTGAACTCCTTCACCACTGAAGGTAGCTTGGATAGTTTAAGCAACTCGAAAATTCCTATTTAGAATCGGAAGACATGTGGCCATAGGTGAACAATTGTTTCCGATGATTCATCCTCAGAACATTATAATCATATTTAAAGGTAAAAGAGCGAAATAAAATCGACCCATTGGCTTAGGTTACACAGTGCATGTACGGTTCTGTGTGGGATGCCAAAACTTGGTCTTTGCCATAACAGGTCGATTGTATCGTGTCTTCTCGCAGGTCAGGGGATCTGAAGAGCTTGGATCAGCTTCTTTTGCGAGCATAAAGAAGGTTGAAACAACCGGATGCAAATCGCTTCAGCTGTCGCGGGTGCACGGAAGGGCGTACATCTGGATTGATGCTGGTAGACATTGTAAATTATCCTGAAGGTACGCTTTAGATTAACTTCGACATCTGACTGGGAAAGTAGGATTTTGGCGAGGTCCTTTCGATACAGAAATCTGTTGAATGCTGTTCCATTTCGTTCGGCAATGGATGCATGATAGCTACCTTTAGGTAGACAGTTGTGGAAAATGATGCAGTTAATGCTTTCGCAACCAGGTCGACTAGCCCAATGGATGGAACATTATGATGAGCTGGCCTGCCCAGATACTGCCGCTGACTTAATCCCCTGACCCCACGTAGAAGCCGGATGTCAAACCTCCCAATTTTGAGGAGATGTGACATGAATTCACAGTATTGAAATGAAACAAGTCTCCAGGACCCAATGACCTTCCCCGAATTTTCGCTGAAGGATGGTGGTGACACCTTGTTTTCTGGGCTCGCTTTACTATCTAGCAAGAGTTGCGATAGTTAAGTGGTATCTTCAGAATGATGGTTGTCAATTGTCGTGCACTTCATCAAAATGGGTCAACGACTTTATGAGAAAATCATCGAGGCTTTTGCCCTTTCCATAGCCTCTAAACTTCTCATGGTTCGCATTCCTGGACGAGTCACTAGACCCCATACGAAACGAGCAATTGGAAACAGGGTTGAGTTCCGCCTTGGTCATGGTCGCATCGACCAAATATTTACTCTTCCTCAAGAGATTGAACACATTCTTAATGCCGACTGACTCTGGGGGTTTTCCTTGACCTGAAAGCCATCTTAGATTCTGCTGATCGATCTTGCCTGTAACATTTTCTAATCACGAAGGGAATGCCTGTAAAACTCATTTCGATTCTGAAGTCCCTCCCGTGACTCCCGACACCGGGTAAAGTTCAAGAGAAGATATCTCCTAAATTTCCCACGACAAGTAGAGTTTTTCGGGGTAGTTTTATGTATTCCTTTTTCCTCAACTTTGCAATCAAAGTGACCATGTATGACTACGCACTCTCAGCCTGATCCGGGGTGGAAATTCTGCCAGTAGACTGGTTTGACAAAGCTTGAGTATACTAACGACAAGGATCTTCTTGGTTCGGACGCAGGGACTGTGTAAGCGCTACCGAACGGAATAACGAGTAGGAGTGCATGCCACCCCATGTGCCATACACCTTCACATTACAAGGTATTGTTGTCGTTGTTGTTGTTGAATGATTCGCCACTGGTTCTAGCCATCAGAGAGAAGCGGCTGGCAGTGATTGGTCGATTTAGTTGCCTTGGTGACTGTCACCGCTGGTGTTCATGGCACTGAGTATTAATCTTTTGTGATAATATTCGCTTGAATCATCCGTCGGAGCAAACCGGATAATTGTCTTTGTTATCATCTCCTCTGTAAGCTTTTGATACTACTGTCTATCACTAAGAATAAATTACACCTTACGTATATAATGTCATATAAATTAGAACTTTTTCGGAACCTTTATCCCAGTTAGAGATAATTAACTCTTTGTTTAACAATAACTCTCTAAGTGACTACATGTGTTCATTTGTGAGAATGCCGTCACCGGCGGGGCTCGCTCTATTGTAATCACGACAGGCATTTACTAAGCTGGGTTTCATGTTCTCAATATCCCCTGGCGAATTTTGCAGCAGGTCTCACACCTGCATTATTTAACTCTCAAACTGAACCATAGATGCAGACTGGTCAATTTGTTACAAGAAAAACAAAACTTAGGATCTAATGTTAAAATGTTGAGTTGTGTTTGACTGAGAGAAACACTAGAAAGATCAAACACGTACAGCTCAGAGTTATTCTGAAAGGTCAGTTGTGGTACTTGACTGTTCAACCAGGTAACCAACTCTCTTCTTTCCTATGCATTCCCTTGCTTCCTAACGTGTGCTGTGTATAATTCAAAAGGCTTTCTTAACTTTTTCGATGGGCCTAAGACAGCACGCATACGTTGTGAAATTAACCTCTCCAGCTCCGATAGTCTCGTGCGAATTTTATCCATTTGGTTAAACCTGTCTCCTCAACCTGTGCGCATTTGGATAGAGACCACATCGGCGTATTTCCCTCCAGAAGTGTTTTGGATACCGACAAGATTGTAGGCACTCGTTAAAGAATATCAAACCAATCTCGGCTTCTTCATACCGAGCACTGAAATTCAGATACACATTCAAAAGCTTGAGTGAATCACGGGAATGCTAATCTTCAGCAATCCAAAAATTTCCATTTAAATGAATGAATCAAAGGAAGGTAGATTCTGGGTGAAGAATTCTTTGCAGTAGATCTCTTCAGACTCAAATGTTACATGAGGATGATTGCATGCTAAAGGTGCCGGAAAGATAGACTGCCTCCGTTGACTCGATCAATGCTCGTTTATCAGTACTCGCGCTCCTGTGGTGCACTATAAGTATATCGTCCTTCGAGGCGTTTATCTCATAGGATTTGCGAACACATTCCGAAGTGGGTTTACAAAGGCGAAGCGAGAACTCCTAACGACTCCAGCATTTCGCATCTGTTAGAGTGCGGTCACGCAGGCGGGGAAAAATATTGCAGGTTCATTTGTTCCATACCTGAGTGTTTTTCCCGCGGATTTTGAAAAAATATGTCCATGGCAGAAGTCATCTATATCCGTCGCCTCAAGCCGAAGTCATGCGCACAAAAACAACTTGTGCGCTCTTTACTACTATTTTAGCCTACGTATGACGTACGAGTCTTTGGTCTGTGTTCCAATTAATCTTTTTTCACGGTGATTTACCCATCGTGCCAATTTGCTGCTTTCAGTGACCGCGTGTTTTATCGATTTTATCCCTTGGAGTAAAACTATCGAATTAATACATAGCCCTATCCGGCACATTTGGTACGCAATCGTCGTGTAAAGTTAGAGTGTGGAGATTTATCGAAAAGAATTTTTCACTCAGAATCTGCCTACCTTTGATATTTTTTCTATTTACTGAGGAATGTGCCTACAGCTGAATATGAGATTCACCAGAAAGACATATTGGATATGGTCGATGTCGTTGGACAGCGGCTGGGCTATTGAAACCGATGATTTGCGTCGGATTCCGGCCTTTGACAACGGTTGTCCTCGGAGGATAGCTTGGGTGTGTTGGGTACACCACGTTTACAACCTCGATGTTAGACGTCGGGTCCTGAGCGATACGAGCCTCCCTCTCGATAAGCTAATATCATTGCATCAACTAAAGTTGCTAGGTCATGTCCCATGCACGCCGTGCGACAGTGCATCACAGTGCGTTCTGGTCGCTTACGCAAGACCGCATTGGAAGAAATCGTGCGGTGGGCAGGCAACCGCATGGCGACAAAATGTCAAGGCGCTGATTTCCAGTCTAACCGTCGTCGGCTCCGTACGTCTTCCGGGATGGGGAGTCAGACAGGAAGAAAATCGCTGGTTGAAGGCTCTTGATGACATGGCGCGTTGTCGAGTAGGATGGGAAGTTTGTATGGGTCTATACGTTAATTCTGTTGACTAAAACCCTACTCACTAAACTGATAAGAAGATAAACCGGCGTGTGCAAAATGTAAAAGCATGTTCTTAAAATATCTTTTGTATCTTTGGTCACTTAACTTACATGCACATTTATTCCGTAGTTTTGGATGGCTCGATTTATGTTCTATAGACAGGTGATTATACATACAGGTCACGGCCGGTTTGAAATATATCGTTCCGCTCCCAGGCCAGTTTGTTCAAGTTTTCTGTGTCATATATCGTTATTTGTTGTCATAACTTGTTTACTTCTATATAATTTGTGATTCTGAAGTATCCAATAATATATCTGAAACCCATTTTGCAGTAATTTTCTCGTTCTAGTCTGTCTATATTCTTGTCCGTCCTGATCGTGTTTCGCTATTGTCCTCTCCAGTCCAGTTTATCTCGTCCTTTTCATTGGTATAGCTGTTTTATGCTCTAGTTGGCGTAATTCACTCAAGTTAGTTATTTGGCTTTAACACGACATAACTACCTGTACTAGTTTATCATATCTTCTGTACTTCCACATTACGCTGATTTTCTCGTATCGATCGGTACCTATTTTTGAAATGGCGAATCAGTCACCTTGTGGTATTAGCTGCAAAGTCGTTGGACATCGAGCAAATGCGATTCCATGCAGTCTATGCAGTATAAAGTTTCACATTTCGTGCTTTGGTCTGTCTGTAGACCAATTTCGAGAAACTCAGGGGATTCGGAACGAATTTTTGAAGATCATTTGTAAACAACGCCAGTCTAAATTTGGGCGTAATGGAACCGATAAGCCTAACAAGCGGATCAGTAGAGCGAAGTGCTCTAAAACGTCCAGCTCGATTTGTAAACACCACAGTCAGGGAAGACGCCAGCGCTTGGTACAGCATCGCATCATTCCCTGAAGCAAGATACTAGCGTTCCGTCAGGCTCGTCCTCAAGGTCTACGATTTGTTATGTTGACAGTAAAGTGCCAATTGTCAATAAGCTAATTGATGAAAACGAATGGAAAGTGCGAAAACTAAAGAGACCAAGAACAATGTCTAGCGACCTGAGGCACCGTAGTCTCACGATCTTTCACACACCTGAATCATGTGATTCCAATCCTCAAGTGCGCTATGAACATGAGGTGATTTTTGCAATCTTTGTTTGATAGACTGCTCGACGTGAATGTGGGCGGGCTCAAAGTGAAGCCGATCGCTCGTCTAGGAAAGAGAATCGAGGGCAAAAGTCGACCTATGATGGTGAATTTTGTCAAACAGGCAAGTCCTAAGTTAATATTGTCCCCTTTTAACAGGCTGGAAGGTTTAAAAATCCACTTGCGCGCTGACAGACTTAGCCGACAGAGAGAAACTCAAGTCTGCTATGATTGAACTAAAGCGACGCACGCGCGATGGAGAAACAAATCTCCGTATTGTAAATGTTCGAGTAGTTACCCGGATGAATCCACGAATCCGGATCAATAGGTTTCTGATGGTTCAGGTGCGCCCAGCGGTTCCTACCGCGGTCTGCGGTATTCTCTACTAACGTGTGCAGTCTGATAAACAAGCGCGATAAGCTGTGCTTCTTTGTAAGCTCTCAGTGACCAGATGTATTAGGCCTTTCTGAGACATGGTTAAACTTCGACGTAACCGCCCAAGACGTGGAAATCAACGGCTACTCATGTTTCCGCTGTGATAGACCAGCAAATGATCGCGGTGGCGTTGTACTTTGCATAAAGTCTTCCTTGTGTGGGAGACTAGTGAGGTCCTACCGAAACGCTGATGGTCTATGTGAGTTGTTATGGTGTTCGATCCATCTGACGCTGCGAGTTGCTCGTGGGTGTGGTATATGGCAGTCCACGGAGCCGCTGTTTGGACTGGTTGCCGCATGTCCGCAACCACATGAGTAGTCAGATGTTTCTACTGATGGGCGATTTCAACTTACCCCGTATACAGTGGCCTAAGGCTGAACTTCTCCCCCGGCCATTGTGAAGTCGAGAGGAAGTTTACGGAGTCGACATTTGAAACCGGGGCCACACAGCACATCAACCAACGGACACGTATTACTGCGCGCGCGACTCCGTCGTGTTTAGACCTGCTGTTGACTAGCTGTGAGCAGCGTGTGCATGACATATAAGTCTTAGAGCCTCTGGCAGCGAGTGACCACTCGATGATCATAGCCAGCTTGGAACTGCCGCTGCAGTATTCTTCTCAGCTGGAGCCAGCCTTCCACTATTGGAAGGCGGACCTTAATGGCCTCATTCGAGTAGCGAACCAGATGGACTTGTCTTTAACACAGGATCCGTCTATTGAAACCTGTTGGACTATCATCAAAGAGTGAGTGAAATCGTTGTGCGCCCGAGTTGTACCCCTCAAATATCGGAAAGTTGGGCCAATCAAACCATATTGGTTATACCAAGAGTACAGCAAACTGGCTCGGCGATGACGCAGACTATGGAATAAATTCGTTTTATCTGGCTCTGATGAGGACTGCAAGGCGTACAAGGTACAGCGAAATCGCTGCAACAAAGCAAAAACAAAAAACGCAGAAGCTTCGAAGAGGAGCCTGTAACCTCCGCAAAAAATGCTCCCAAGGGAATCTTCGCCTATGTGAAGCGGCGCATGAGGTCTGCAGCTAATGTCCCAGTGTTAGAAGGCTCAGTTGAACAGCCCCTAACCTCGAGTACAGATCGTACGTCCGCATTCGAGGCACACTTCGCCTCCGTATTTGCAAGTGACCAGGTGCCTGTAACGACTTCGACGAGTGCCACCCCCGCTGAACTTGACGGCCTAGACTGCAATATTGAGGATGTACGCAAGCTTCTAGCAAACCTTGACAGAACGAAGCCTGCTGGGCCAGATGGAATCCACCCACTGATCCTCAGGTCCCTATGGGCCATCATCTCGCGTTTTGTAACTGAGCTGTTCAACTGGTCACTATCCACTGGAATATTACCGGGCGACTGGAAATGCTCAGTAGAAAAGTCAATACCGAAATGTGGTAACCCAAGCAAAGTGGATAACAACCGGCCGATCTGCCTGACCGCAGTTTTGGCAAAGAAGCTCGAAAATATCGTGAAGAATAGCCTTCTGCAGCTTCTCGAGTCGAAAAGCCTCTTGACCCGCGCACAGCATGGTTTCATGAAAGATCACTCGTGCATCACCAACCTGCTGTTGACGAGGCACAGATGGCTACAAGGGCTGAACCAAGGTAAATCAGTCGACGTCACTTACATCGACTTTAGTAATCAATGTTCATTTGTTCTCCGAGCTTGGCGGTTTTCTCGCAAACGTTTCACCACCATGCGAGGTGGCATCCTCAGTGCAGTGATATGTAGCGTACAAGCTTACTAAATGAATCCTCCCTCCATGATCGACCTGCAGGTGACTTTGAACGTGGCAGTGGCGATTTTAAGTCCCGTGACCTCTACCCACTTTCCCCCAGGGCTAAAGTCGGCGCCCGAGTTGTTCTGCCTCAAACCGCGTGACAAAAGGTTCTTTATTTCTTTCTGTCGAAGTGGGTTCGTATATTGAATCGATGTCCACACGCATGTTGATTGAAAGTTTCATTGAGAACCAAGCTTCCAAGAATTCTCTTTCTTCTTGTTTCACTCCATACCAGGACTTCTGCTTTGCTCCAATCGAAGCAATGTCCTTCCTCACCTACATGCATGGAAACTAGCGACGACTTCAGTAAGGATTTTGACATGGTAAATCATGCAGTGCTCCTCGACAGGCCGATGATGTGCGATGTTGGTGGTGCGCTGACCGACGGATCAGGAATTTCCTTGTTGATCGAAAGTGGAGGGTCAAGGTGGACAACCATTTAACCCACTGGTATCCATCGTGCAGGGGCGTCCGCCAAGGCGCTGTACCGGGGCCGATTTTGTTTCTGATCCATGTAAACGATGTGCCTCAGCTACTCCAATCAACTGGTGCGTTGTTCGAAGAGGACTTGAAGGTGTGTAGATTAATCCGAACACCCAATGATTGTGATTTGCTTCAGCAGGACCTCGACCGCTTCTCCACATGGTCTGCAGAGGTCAACCTTCCGATCAACCCGATCAAGTCGCAATTCATGAGACTGAGTAAGTGTGAGCACAGCAGAACCTACAAGGTGTCTGGTCAACCGTTGAATCCCGCGCCTTTCGTGCGCGACCTCAGTGTACTCTCACGCTAAGACCTAAAATGCATGGACTACACGAATAGGATTTACCAAAACATTCTTCGTATGCCTTGGGCGCCAAGACGCAGCTTCAGCACTTGGTCCGAAGAGATTGGCACTCGCCTCTTCGTCTCAAAAATACGACCAATGCTAGAGTATGGCTCTCCCGTGTATTAGCCTATCATCTGGGGCGAGGTAGAAAAGCTTGAGCGAGTGCAGCATGTAGCAACCAGGCTGATTCCCAACTTACGTGGTTTACCATACGAAGACCGATGTAAGAAACTAGGGCTGTACACCCTGGCTATTTGTCGAATGCGGGTTGACCTCACCATGACTCACCGGATATTACATCTGGGTGATTACCCTATGTTGAGATCACGGCTTCATCTGCGCACACCAAGCAGCACAAGAGGACACCGGTATAAACTTGTCGTACCGGATTTGAAGCGGGTTGCTCACAAACTCCTTTTCAAACGTAGAGTAGTGAATGTATGGAACTACCTGCCGTAGCACATAGTAGAGGCAAACTCAGTGTCGGAATTAAAGAAGCTCCTTGACAAACACTTTGCAGACGCAAAATATATAGAGGGGAACACAACATAACGCGTACATGTTCAAGAGTGACAAATGATGCAGTTACACAGGGCAAGCTCTACTCGCTGCTGCGAACCAGTAATCAGTACAAGCGGTTATGGATATATATATTTATACATATATATATATATATATGTGCCCCATGCTGAGGCTGATGTTGCATTCTTGATGCTTCTTCACCGCAGTTGGGCTAAACCAACTTACACTTAAACTAGGTCTTTTTAAGCTGGATAAATTTCATTCCGCTTTATTTGGTTTGTTCTGCCTCCCTGAATAATGTTCTATTATTTGGCCACGTTGCTTACACTAATTGCGCTTATCTTCGGTAATTTTGTTGCGTTTGTAGCATTTTTGAGTAACTTGTGGACATTTCTTACTTATCACGGATTTGTTGCTAACCAAATTACTCCATATGGTAATTTAGCGCAGAGTTATGCCACCGTATCTGTATGTATTATTGGATTTATTTTATTTCAGCTTGTCGTTTAAGGTGAATGGCTGTTGTTTGATATCCCTGGTATGGTTGCGCTTGATGTGTATGTTGACAAGGTGCCTACCTGTCTATTACCCACTACATCGTTCATACTGGCTCCAGGAGACAGTTGGTCGTTGCTGGAGGGGACGGGGTGCACGGTTCTTGTGGCCGTGCTAGGCTGAAAGAGCGGTTCCATGCACTCAGTGTGGAGCGGACTACGGTCCAGCCACCGCCTTGTGTGCGCTTGATTCCCCAAATACAGCGTGCTTGTGTTTGCCTGTGAAGGAGTGTGGGCCGGCTCCGTTGATGAAACGTGGTTCCCATCCACATGCCTCCCGGTCTTATTCCTTCGGGTTTACACTGGATATGGGATATGTGGTTGGAGCTGTGGGTGGTGCAGCGCAAGCCATCCATGGTCCCTCTGTAGGCGCAGGCGTCCTGTGGCTTGCCACAGTAACAGGCAAATCCGAAACCGGATGCCGCCAACCAAATATATATATATATATATATATATATATATATATATATATATATAGATAGATAGATAGATAGATAGATAGATAGACGGCATGTTGAATGGATATGTCTTCGTCGCTCCTGCCTATTTTTTGAAGCAGTCGAACGGAGTCAAGCAGATTATAGTGCTTCTATTAATCCTATGTCACCCAGTTCGGTTAAAGTTAAAACTGTATGACTAGCCCACCCGTATCCGTTTCCTAGTTATATGAGCACCACGAAATTTGTTAAATCGA